AATTTTGACTGATAATTTGGATAGAACTAATGAAAAACAATAGTTTTTATCAGTTATATTTTTAAAAAATATTTAAACTTAAGATTTTATAGATTTCTTAAAAATACATGATTTTTGATGAGAAGTGACTTGGAGCACCATAGCATTAAAACTATTATTATTACCTTGACGTCATCTCGATTTAATTTATTGGATCTTCTCAAATTTAATTTATTGAATTTCTCTTACATCAATCTAATTTAATAAAATTTAATTAATATAGATTATCTCAGGACACAAAATTTTGACATGTCGTAATCTGCTTTTTTTTCAGTAAATGAAATTTAATAACTTCTGCAATATATTTATATTATAAAATTTCTGGCTGCTTTAAAACTACGCCAGAAATTAACTTAATTAAACTAAACCTCTGGTATTTTACAATAGAATTTTTTGCTCTGGATTATCTCTATTATAGTATTAAAACTACTGTAATTACTTTATGTCATAAGAATACAAATTTAATTTATCAATTTTTTTTACATCAATCTAATGTAATAAAAATTTTTTATCAAAAATTTAATATAAATAAAATTTTTTTTGATAGTAAAACAATAGCACCTTAGTTATATCTACGTCTACCTCTTCAAATAAATCTTCTTCTATATCTACCTCTTCAGATACATCCCCTTTTACATCTTTATTAACAAACAACTAGCCAAAAAAATATAATAAGATCTAAAGGAGGAATCAAATTAATTAGTTAAGTTTGGGAATAGGGTGAATGTCAAGAATTGCTAGACAAAACTGGAAGAATTTTCATATATACTAACAAGTTATTAAACAGAAAAGACTATACTTCTAAAATTATGACAAAGGGTCCAACTAGAATATTATTAATCATTTAGTGGTTATGCATCAAATATTCAAAAATACACCCTTACCTACAAGATCAACCAATCAAGATGAATCTTTCATAACAATGACCAAAGAATAGCAAAAATATCTTGAACTACTTCTTTATGAGTGGTTTATTCTAGAGGCTCTGCCTTTATATATGCTTGAATCATCTTTATTCCAACATTTTATTAATAACTCCATTCTGACATTTGATATTCCTAATCATAAAAAATTTAAAAGAAAAATTTTTGAGTCTAAAAATTATGTTAGTTTAAAAATTTCAGAATTATTAGAGCATGAAGCAAGTTGGATATCACTTACATGTGATTTATGGACCTCTTGCTCTAAAATAAAATTTTTTGGAGTTATAGCATATTTTATAACACCTAATTTTGAGTTTAAAGAAGTTACCTTGATGATTAAAAATCTTCCACATCCTCATACCAGCGATCATATCCAAGAAGCTCTAGAAATAGTTATAACTAAATAGAAGTTAAACAATAAAATATTTTGCTATACTACTGATAATGGCATCAATATGAAAAAGCATTTAATCAAATTTTTTGGCTTAAAAGGGTCTCATGTGCAGCACATACTATTCAATTAGTGGTTAAAAAAGGAATGCTACCAGCCAAAGTTCTAATTGCAAGAAAATGAAGACTAATTAACTTCTTTACTTGTCCTAAACAATGTGAGAGATTAATTAATATTCAAAAGCAATATGCTACAAGCACAAAGATTGAAGACGAATCAGTAAATAAATCACAATTAGTTTTTTATCATGTACTTACTGATTGTAAAACATGATGGTCAAGTACTTTTAATGCATAGGGTCGTTTGTTAATTTTAAAACTATTTATTGATATTCTTTCTACAGCAATGAATATAAAGAATGTTGATATGGAAACAAAAAAAAATGGAAAGCAGTTAGAAAAAATTTTGAAGAATGGTCATTTATCGAAGAGGCTATGCTACAAAAATACTGTTCCTGATAGATCGTCGGTACCATTCCTGATAGAGTATAAAAAAAAGTCAATTTGCATACCGTTCCTGATAGGGTTCTAAAAAGGGCCTCCAAAATACTATACTATATAATGAAAAAAGTTAGAATTAGGGTTCGTTTTTAGAACCCTATCAGGAACAATACTCAAATAAATTTTTTTTTAACTCCATCAAGATCGGTATCACTGATCCATCCAGAATAGTATTTTTGCGATTATGCCAATTCTAGGTAGTGTTTTAAATTAAAAATCAATTATATAATCAAGTTGAGATTTATGATACTTATTTGCGCAGGTAATACAAATCTAAAAAGAAAAAAATTAATATATTTTTTATTTGTACGTGAGAGTTATGACTTTAGAGTTATAGTTAGAGTTAGAATAAGAATTAGTATATTTTAAATTTTACAAAAAATTTTTTTATTAGAACGTAAAAGGTGATTTTTTAGACAGAATTTTGAGTTACTAGCTATTTTTTAAAAAAGTCTTCATTTTATATTATACTACTGATTTTGCGATCAATATAAGAAAATTTTTCTTATTTGGAGTTATATCACTAGTGCAAAGAAGTATACGTAATCAAGTTGACAACTAATTAATAATTTATTAAATAACTAATAATGATCAATTATTTAATTAATTAATTAGTTGTTTTTAATATACTTGACTTCTATCAATATCAACCTATTTAAGGGTAGGGTATTTGTTTACTATTTGTTTGCATATAGCATGAAAATAAATCAATCAAAATTTAATGATCTGCAAAATTAACTAATTATAATTGTATATTTGGTTGTACATGCATATTTATTTGCGCATTGCATGAAAAAAACATATAAACAAATACCTACCCTTAAAGATTATTGTTAACTTAACAATAATTGATTTTTAATCGATTTTTTAAAAATTTTTGGCCAACTAATCAATTGTATCTTTTGGTTTAATTTGGAATACTAATTCTAGAACTATTCGCTGAAACTATTAAAAAGCTGGAGGGAAGTTAATATTTAACCATAAGTTATATATATCCTGCAATTTAAAAAATTAAGTCACGATTAAGTTGTTCTTTTAATTCTATTAATAAAAATAATAATAATAGTTAAGATGAATTCGAGGATGCATTTGATGAACTACAATTTGAAGATTTGAAGAAAGATGATGAACCAAAAGCAAAGCAAAAGATTAAAATTAATAATCCAGTAAATACGATTAGATTAATTGATGCAATTAAAAGTAAACTTTATTATATGATAAATGTTTATTATGAAGATTTAGAGCTTGATGGTCTTGTTACTTTACTTTTAGATCCACATTGAAAAAATCTATCATTTATAACTAAATCAAAAAAAATTGAACCAATTAATAAATTACATCATCTATATAAAAAAGAAAATTCCAAGTACTATATAACAAGCTTATCTTTAAAAAAGAAAAATAAGCTTTTACAAAAAAGGTTAAAAACAAAATTATATAGTGAAAGTTTGTTTGATGAAAGTCATTTGATTTTTGTAGTTCTGGTAATATTGACGAAATTGATAGATATTTGACGTTGCAAGAAATTTCTAAAGATCAAAATGCTCATACTTGGTGAAAGATAATAAAAAAAATTTCTTTGTTCTTTTTCAACTAGCAAGAAAATATCTTGCTGTACAAGCAACGTCAGCTGCAAGCAAGAGGCTTTTTAGTGATGCAGGCAATATTATAACAGCTAAAAGAACCTATTTGAAACCAGAAGTATTTGAAAATTTAATTTTTCTTAAAAAAATAGCCCGGTAGTAGGTGAAATATTTGATTACAATAATAATAGTTATGAGTAATTGTTTGAATTTTGAATTTTTTTTTTTTTTTAAATTCCAACTTGAAATTTTTTTTTTGAACATTCAGTTTTGCATCAGAATAGATTGAGTAAAATAGAATATTTATTTCAAATTTTTCATAAGTGAGCTTTAAAAAAATATATATAAATAAGATTATATATTTTAATAAATATATATGATACAGAAAGCAATACGTTGTAGCAGTTGAAGTTCCCCTCTCCAATGTGTTACCATCTGACATAGCACAATGTTCGATTTATTTTATTTTATTTTTTTCATTATTTTTATTTTTGTAAAAATGGAACAATTATTAAAATTGGAATGAAAGGAATTATCAGGTAAATAGTTATGAAAAGCATTAGAAGAAAAATAGAGTAGAAAAAAGAAAGAAAAAAGAATAGTATTGATAAGAAAAAAAGTTTTGATTTTTAATTTGTAAAAATCATGTATATAAAGTAGCGGACATTACCTTAAATAAAAAGTAACTCCCAGAGTTCTAAACAACCTTCGAAATAAGAGTATTTCTACCCTATTATACTATTTTCTTGAAAATCGGTCGTCATTTAGTATTTTCTTGTCCCTGTAACTATCGTCTATTGTATTGTCGAATTTAGCAAAAAAAAAACTGTATTAGTAATACAAATCCATATATATTAAAATCACCCCTGATTAAGTTTGTGATCAACGTCATTGTACCTGAGTCGTGATCCTGTGATACCATAACC